GCAACAAATTTCAAACAGCATGTCGCGTTTGGGAGTCCGTGCCGCTTGCCAAGCACAACCATTGCAATCAATGGGACCGCACCACAACCATGTGAGTATGTGGTTGTGGCATGTTACTAAAATCCCCATTAGGATAAGGAAAGAGAAAAAAATGTAATTCAGGAGGTGGCTCTATCATCTTTATCGAAGCACTGTTCATTTTATTTACATGTTCAGATAAAGCACCCCATTCCCTTTTAGAGGAACTATTTCTACTTCCAATGCTTTCATCCTTGGAAGAGAGGATTGCAATCCCACCGTCAAACAGCAATGCAAGACCCTGCCCCATTTCACAGAGTTACTGGCTGTCAACACAGCAATACAGTGCTCTACAGACCACAGCCCCTGCCAATCTACCATCATCATTACACACCTCACATCAATTAGACCTCACAATCCAATCCACAAAGCAGATCCTGGGTCATTGTGTGAATGAGCCCTAAGGGTTTCAAGAAAATCACTCATCCCCATAATTCAAGCAAACCTGTGAAAATGAAGCTATCACAGGTCAGTTCTATTGGGAGGGAAAGGATTGGGAAGTCAGTGACTGCGCTGTGTTTTCGCTGACTTCCCGATCCTCTCCCTGCAGAGAGCGGTAGTCACCGATCCCCAGCAGGGGTTTAAGTCATCGCTCCAGCAATGGGGGAGCGGGCGGGTACAGCTGGCTCTGCCTCAACAGAGACACAGGCAGCTGTCAATCAGGCAGCGGTGGATCTCGACTGTATTTTCAAGATTTGTCCCGGTGTGGCGCTCTCAGCATATAGCAGGCAATAGACTGCTATATACTGAGTTTTGAGTCATGGGAGGACACTATATGTCCTCCCGTGACCCTGAGGAAAAAAAGGTGCCCCATAGTTCTCCTGTTTAAATACTTTGCAAATGCCTACTAAATCTAATGATCTTCAGACTGGTGTTTACATTCGACTTTATGTAATACTTTCCTTCCTCCCTGCTCCCCGCAGTTTGTCCCTGCCAGGCAATGCACAGCCTTTGCAAGATAAACGTTGGGAGCTCTTCCTACATTGTGTACATGTGCACCATGGCCCCATGTCTTGTAAAACCATTATTGCTGTGACAGTGAAAGGGGAATTCTCTCCAACAGAGCCAAATATAACAGTAAAAAAAACAGGGCTTCTAATCTCTTCCCTCCCCACTTTTTCTAAAACGACAAAAAAAAAAAAAATTTGACTCGACATCCGCTTTAAATGTTAGGTTACCCTTAGGGCCTCATTTACTCTGAGCGTGCGGCGTGCAAACCCCTAAACAGCCGGTCCCGGGAGGGACAGGTGCTGTGTGTGGTTTTGCGCAGCAGCCTGTTCTTCCCTATGGGAAGATGCGGCTGTACAATGTCATCCCTAAGGGTACGGGTGTCCGCACTCTTGACGCAGACATGATGGATTCTGTCTGTGTCCAAGTGCAGACACCGGTTGGGCCGCAGTTCAGGTGTCCATATGACACCGTACAGTAGTGTCCTCCTATAGGAAAGAACAGGTTGCTGCGCGCAATCAAACGCAGCACTTGTCACTACCGGGATCGGCTGTTTACAGACGTGTACACCCAGTGTGAATGAGGCCTTAGGGTGAAGGGTAATATTTGGCTTCAGGTTAAAGGCCAAGTATTAGGGTGAGGGTTCATTTTAGAGTTTAGGATAAGTGTTGAGGCTTAAAAGTTAAAAGCAGAGATCATGAAATTGTTTGGCAACCTTACCGGGCACTGCTTTTACTATTACTAAGCAATGTTCTACTTGCAGTGTTAGAAATAGGTCGGGAATTTGACTTTTGAGTTGTTTCCTCAACTGTCTCCCACCCCCTTCTTTCTCTTCCATGAGAGTGTGCTCTTCTGTCCTCACAGAGAATGTGTGGCTCCTAGCAATGTTACCAAACAGTTTTTGTGTCTCGTATAAATAATTGATGACCGAAATTTAAAGCGACAAAAGTAATGACAAGCGCAGAAGAAAAAGTGTAGGATGGGATCTCTTTAATCACCTCTGTACTGGTGTATTGTCAAATAGACTGATGATGATCAGTGATTCAGTGACCGACATTACAGTTGTAGTAGTGTTTACAACATTCAGCTAGCGCTGCAACAACTAATTGATTTAATCGATAATGAGAATTGTCATTGATTCTCATTATCGAGTAGTTGATTCCGATTAGTTCTGCTCTGCTCCTCCGTTCTCTTCGCTGGGAGCTGCTGTATGCTGCGCTCTGTGTGCCCTTCGATTTAAAGGGGACAAAGAGTGCTGCGCCCAGTGGGGAGCAGAGACCGCTGTGCCTCTGCATCCCCCCCGCTGCTGTACCGCATTCCTCCGCTGCTGTTCCCCATGTCCCCTCTTCTGCTGGTGGTAAAAACAAACAAACATGGACAAGTCTCCCATCCAGCAGCTGGGAGCAATGGCCAGCCTGCTATTGGCTATTTTAAATTTCAATAGCAGGTTGGCTATTGCACCCACCCACTGCCTCTTGTCAGTTATCAGAGGGGGGACCTGAAGGATAACTTTTTCCTTCAGTTCCCCCCTCTGCTGATTTGAGGGCAGTTGGCAGGTGCAATAGCTAGCCTACTATTGCATTTTAAAATAGCCAATAGCAGGCTGGCCATTGCTTCCAGCCACCGTCTGCTGTATTTACATTTAGCTGTCATTCCCCAGTGAAGTGAAAAGGTGACACTAGGGGTCTAATAGACCCCTAATGTCACCTCAAGAGAACCTGTCATCTCCAATGTGCTATCACATAGGGGGCTTGTAAACCCCGCATGTAATGGCATTGAAGTAAAAAAAAAAGTTATATGAAAGTTTTTTTGGTCCAATTTAAAACTAATGCTGTGCATTCCAGTGCGGTTCGTTTGCAAAAATTGTGTAATCCCGCTCGAATTTTTCGAAGGGTGAGGCTGGAAAACTTTTTCAACTTGAAAAAAAAATAAATTGCAGCAACAACACTGCACATGTGCAAACGAAAATCCGTTCTGTCGATCAACTCAGTGAGATAGAATTGCTAAAGAGATGATTATGGAAATCGACATTGGTCTGTTCTTGATGGGCTATTTACACTAGATTCGAAAGGGGGTTCTTGGCAGCAACGGAATTTTCCCATTAGAAATCTATAGGTGTATGGCCAGCTTTAGTTGAATATGGAGTGAAAAGGTGACACTAGGGGTCTAATAGACCCCTAATGTCACCTCAAGAGAACCTGTCATCTCCAATGTGCTATCACATAGGGGGCTTGTAAACCCCGCATGTAATGGCATTGAAGTAAAAAAAAAAGTTATATGAAAGTTTTTTTGGTCCAATTTAAAACTAATGCTGTGCATTCCAGTGCGGTTCGTTTGCAAAAATTGTGTAATCCCGCTCGAATTTTTCGAAGGGTGAGGCTGGAAAACTTTTTCAACTTGAAAAAAAAATAAATTGCAGCAACAACACTGCACATGTGCAAACGAAAATCCGTTCTGTCGATCAACTCAGTGAGATAGAATTGCTAAAGAGATGATTATGGAAATCGACATTGGTCTGTTCTTGATGGGCTATTTACACTAGATTCGAAAGGGGGTTCTTGGCAGCAACGGAATTTTCCCATTAGAAATCTATAGGTGTATGGCCAGCTTTAGTTGAATATGGGCTGAATGTTTGTCAACACACCTCAGAAAGGATGATCGCAGT